GAGATGCCCCGGTACCTTTCTTAGGCTTTTTTTGGTGTGGTTTGAGTTTGGGCAAGGACACAGGGGCCCCATGATTCCCTATTGCCCGGGGGCCCCATGAGTTGTCAGTCCGCCCCTGCCCTATACCATGTACTGTACTGCTGTTTTGAAGTAGTAAAAATAATAATCATCATCGTAATGATTATTATTATTACTATTATTATTCTATGGTGTTTTATAAGTTTTTGAATATCAGCCCTGACTGTGTCATAGATCATTGTGCTACAGCAGTCATAAAACCTTTTGTGGAATTGCAGTGTAGGATTCCTTTAAGACCATATCAGCTGTACCATGAGATTACTTAGCCACCCCATGTATTCTGTATCCAATTGTCAACAACATTCCAGCTTCACTTAACATATGTTGGCTCAAGTAAAGGTTACTGTTGCTTCCTGCTGATTCTGTAATCTTATTAAATGATTTATTCCTTCTGTGACTTGACTTTCCAAATCCTGAACACAAACACATCTATATCTATTCAGGAAATCATTTTGGATCTTCCAAACTCTTTAAAGCATTATTAGACCCAGAAACAAAAATGCAATATATTGAAGTATACCAGACCTTCAAATGGCTGCATTAGTTTTCTTTTTTAGGCTTTTTTCCTTTATTTTTATGTAATGATCCTGCCAGTAACACACCTTCTGTGTTGGGGTGTCTCGACTCTGGATGGAGGAGCAATGGAGAAACCGTACAGCAGCATTTCTCATCCAGGGAGAGGGTATAGTTAGACTATACTAGCAGATTCACATTTGACTACCAAACTAAAGCTGAACTCTAGCTTTCATTTCGTAAGCATTTACAGCAACAGTTTTCTTTTTAACCTTTTGTGATAAATGTTCTGCATAAATGAATAAAAGCTGACCCTTGTTAGCACTCTTGTCAGGGATACATTTTTCTAACTGCCACTTTTGATGGACAACTTTGTCTATTGAAAAATAATAGATTTACTGGCAGGATCAACAAGTGAAAAAAGTCTAAAAAATGATGCAGCCACCAAGAATTTATAATGAATCACTTGATTCCTCCTTTGCATTTGAGCATACATTTTTTTGGTTATAATGGGGTTCATGTAATTTTTTTAAAGACTCAAATAACTAGCTTGCCTGTATTTCGTGACTTCTGGAAGGTATAAAGTCCCAATAGAATGAATTTCATATATTTATTTATTTCAGGTACTTATATAGCGCTGTCAATTTATGCAGCGCTATACATATATATTGTACATTCACATCAGTCCCTAACCCACAAGGGGAGTACAATCTAAGGTCCCTAACTCACATTCATGCATACACATACTAGGACCAATTTAGACAGGATCCAATTCACCTACCAGCATGTCTTTGGAGTGTGGGAGGAAATCAGAGTACCCGGAGGAAACCCACGCAGGCACAGGGAGAACATGCAAACTCCAGGCAGGTGGTGCCGTGGTTGAGATTCAAACCAATGGCCCTAGTCCTGCCAGGCGGAAAAGCTAACCATTTAGCCACTGTACTGCCGATATATGAAGCTAACCAGAGTCAGCTGGCACAAGGCAGCAATAAGGACAAGTGGAGTGAATTTACCCTAATAGATTTTGCCATTGGAAATTTTTTGGGAAGCTTTCAGTTTTGCTAGTTGAGCTTATTAGTGGAACAGAGCCTATACATTTACATTTGCAGTTAAAAAAAAATAAGTGGAGTTTTTTATAGAGTTTTGTGGCAAATATGAAATATAATCCTGCTAATATTTTAGATTTTAGGTTTTAAAACTGGGGCTCGGAAATGTGGTCCTCAAGGCCAACTCACATTTCATGTTTACTACACTATTGAGTAAGGACAGGAATGCATCAATTTGTCTAAGATGACAACACTAGTTATGTTACCCCTACATCTGTAAGTAGGTGCTTCAAAGGGATTAATGTTTTCTTGTGTACTGACTTATGTTCTTCAGTTATCTGGGTCAAGTCTGCTGTCTTTCCACTGAAACTGTTACTATGTTCAAGTGTGGATGGATCTGAAAGGTAAGGTTGCTTGAAAAGGTATCCCACCATATTCCTGAGATCCACTGCCCTCTGCAAGCCATCCCGTTAAAACAGCGGCTCTTCTGTGCCCCTAAAGAGGAGACTTCCTGCTGTAACCCTGCCAAAATGTAGGCTGTTATGCTGCTGGACTGTGCCCCCAGCTGGAGTGTGCAGTCGGGGCTCTCTGAAAGGCTGGGAACCTGAGGATTCTTATGGACATTCAGTTACCAACTATGGACCTACTGCCTTGAAGGACCATTGCCAATCATGGACTTTACGAACACTTATTACCTCTGTGGATTATTTGTCTTTATGGACTATTGCCTTTAAAGGACTATTTATGGACTTGCTGTTACTCAGGTACGACTATCCAATGGGAACTAAAGAACCTTTGCCCAGGAATATGTAAGAATTTACTTTTCCGGAACTGTTCCTGTATGTTTGCATAACTTCAGTAAAGACTGTTGGTGTTCCTTTAATTGCCTGGTCTGAAGTATGTAAAAGTGGTGCATTGCATGGGGTGTCTAAAGAACTTTGCTTGCATCAAGAGACTGTAGGTTGGAGTACATACAGTACATTTAGTCCGGTATAGGGATGCTGTTGAGTATAAGCTTTATTGCTAGGGACAACTGTACATGTGCTTTTGCTAAATGCAGCCAATGATCCAGGGAATGGGTAACTTGGCATAGGGTGATAGTTGCTCTGGTAGTGAAGGAGTGCTATGTCTGGCCCCTTCACTAGCAGAGGGTTCCCCACATATTGGGACCGGACCTGTAGCACAGCGTACTTAAAAACCTAGCTTGGGAGTAATGAGAGAGATGTAAAGGGGCCCCTGAGAAGAGAATAAACATGCAGTTGCAGTGAGGTGCATTGTCTACATCCAGTAGCAACAGTTGGACATGTCACTGGGAATGAGGTGACAGGAATGGCTGGGTTGGTGGGCACTGGGCTCTGCAGTACCAGTTCCTAAATGCTGCACCTGGGAAGTGGTGTTCCCTAACTGCATTGGTGTCTAAAGTGCTTAGTGGTAACAGTACAACAAGTTAGACACGAGTTGCTAGAGGGTTAATGTGCTATTTGCTGCTTGCTTATAAGTCTAGAGTTGTGCCTTAATGCTGATTCCACATGACTGCAAACTTCTGCCTAATGTTTAGGCAATTAGAGAGTGCAGTTCTTAGTGTCCCCACTAGGGCACCGAAGCCCCCCCATCCACAAACCCATGTGAAGAACTGGAAGACATGAACTTTAAGAGGACCATTATGATGAAAGGTAAGGACCATTGTTGTAGGAAATTTTGTGTTTTTACCCCACAGATTTGCACAGTATGACATTTGTAAACAAAAATACTTTTGCATTGACTTATTATATGACATAAAGTTGTGGCAGAATATTCAACCTTCGATTGCTTAAAACTCAAAATAGTTAAAGCTCAACTCTTTGCACAACAAAAAACAAAAAAAAAAAGCTTTGCTCAGTAAGTCTAGGGATGCATGATTAAAGCTCCTCTTATTTTTCCCCCCCCCCCCTCCACTGTTATATTTGACACCTTTTGGGGGGGAGAGGATACCTGTTTTAGACAGGTACCCACTCCCACTTCTGGATCAGTTCGCCACAGTGAAGTGATCCGGCAGTTCATCCCCCTCCTTCCTCCAGCAGTCTCCTGGGAACCTTCACGGGTCCCAGAAGACTGCCGGACCAACGAAAATGCACAGTGCAACTCACGCATGTGCTTACCGCAAGCTGTCCCAGCCTGGTGCCCACAGTTATGATGTCGGTGCCGGGGAGAGAAGAGGTAGAGAAGGGTCAGGGCAGGCGAGCACATCGCTGGACCCTGGGACAGGTGCGTGTGTGTTTATTAATAGTCAGCAGCTACAAAAACTGTAGCTGCTGACTTTTAATAAACACTTTTAATAATAAACACAAAACAGTTTTTGTAGTTGCTGACTTTTAATAAACACAAAACTGACTGGAACTCCGCTTTAAGGTGTAATGCTTACTCTATTCCTCATTGAAGGAGTGCCTCCAGCTGTGTGAACAATCCTGCAGTCTTTTCTAAGGTGCTCCTGTCCATAGTTGCACATCTGCATTGTATGTGATGATGTAGTGGGACTGCTCACAGCCTGGAGTTTCAGAAAAAAGAAGGCAATGCAGATGACTGCTGGAACAGGGAATCAGGGAAAGTAATATAGCCTTTACCTCAATCCCTTGGCATAACAAACATTAGATCTTTGCAGTGTGGGGGTAGGAGGTCCCTGCAGGAATAGGTTTTGTAAATTTCCCAGCGTTGGGCAATAAAGAGGCACAATGTTGTAAACAAAACCCTCCCACAGAGCTAATTGATCAAGCAATGACGCCCATGTCTTTTTGCATCAATATTTTGCAGATGCCATTGGCCAATCATGCTGAGAAGAAATAGTAATCTGATTTTTGTAAAATTGTAGACCATATTGTTGGCACCACAGATATCATGCTGTGCTTCCTCTCTATTGACTTAAACATTTACACATGGTGAACTGCATGTACATTTATTTTATGGGCTTGTTGGAACTCACCTACAAGTCAGCAGCCTCAGCCTTTATTGTTAATACATTTTAAAGACTCAGTTTACAATATCAGTCAATAAGTCATATAGTCAATATGTATTGACTGTATGAAGTTGTATGCAGTGCTGGTGCACTAAGGTGGTGCACTAAGGCTTGCTGGGTTATGTGAAAGCTTGAAGTGTTTGTTTTCACACAGTTTACAATTGCTGCCTAACACCTCCACATACACAGTCAATGTGTGTAATTAAATCTACCACTCACAAAACATGTTTAGAGTTGCAGAAACTTTTAGTGTTTGACATTTTTTAATATACACAACTACACTACATTGCCAAAAGTATTGGGACAGCCCCCCAAATCATTAGATTCAGGTGTTCCAATCACCTCCATGGCCACATGTGTATAAAATCAAGCACCTAGGCATGCAGACTGCTTCTACAAACATTTGTGAAAGAATGGGTCATTCTCAGGAGCTCAGTGAATTCAAGTGTGGTACCGTGATAGGTTGTCACCTGTGCAGTAAGTCCATCCATGACATTTTCTGGCTACTAAATATTCTACGGTCAACTGTTAGTGGGATTATAACAAAGTAGAAGCAACTCGGAACAACAGTCTGTTATTGTCTGCAGAGTCAATAGCTAAAGACCTCCAAACCTCATGTGGCTTTCAGATTAGCACAACAACAGTGTGTAGAGAGCTTCATGGAATGGGTTTCCATGGCTGAGCAGCTGCATCCAAGCCTTACATCACCAAGTGCAATGCAAAGCATCGGTTGCAGTCGTGTTAATTCACACCGCCACTAGAATCTAGAGCAGTGGAGACGTGTTCTCTGGAATGATGAGTCACGCTTCTCTGTCTGGTAATCCAATGGACGGTTCTGGGTTTGGTGGTTGCCAGGAGAACGGTACTTACCTTACTGCATTGTGCCAAGTTTAAAGTTTGGTGGAGGGGGGATTATGGTGTGGGGTTGATTTTCAGGGGTTGGGCTCGGCCCCTTAGTTCCAGTGAAGGAAACTCTTAAGGTGTCAGCATACCAACACATTTTGGACAATTTTATACTCCTTTGTAGGAACAGTTTGGGGATGGCCCCTTTCTTTTCCAACATGACTGCGCACCATTGCACAAAGCAAGGTGCATAAAGACATGGATGAACGAGTTTGGGGTGGAGGAACTTGACTGGCCTGACCTTTGGAATTAATTAGAGCAGAGACTACGAGCCAGGCCTGCTCATCCAGCATCAGTGCCTGACTTCACAAATGCACTTCTGGAAGAATGGTTAAATATTCCCATAGACACCCTCCTAAACCTTGTGGACAGCCTTCCCAGAAGAGTTGAAGCTGTTATAGCTACAATGGGTGGGCCAACTCAATATTGAACCCTACGGACTAAGACCGGGATGCAATTAAAGTTCATATACATGTAAAGGCAGGCACCGCATTACTTTTGGCAATATAGTGTATATTCTCAAGGTATTCCAAAGTATTAAAGGAACAAAGAACAAAAAAGTAGTGAATAAACTTTAAAGTAAGCCCTCACTGACCTCTTGAGCTGCAAGCACTGTGAAGTAATTCATTTGCAAAGCTCACAAGAGAAGCAGTGAAGTAATTCACATGGGGTTTCAGCACTTTAATCTCCCCTTCTTACTTCCAATTCACTGCTGGGAGGGGGGAGCAGCTAAGATGTTGAAATTAAATTGAAAGTACTTCCTGTTGTAAAGTTTGAGTATTAATTACTCAATGGTGTCTGCAGCTACAGAGGTCAGTGGGGGCTTATTTAAAAGCTTATGTACTACTTATTTGACTGAATATGTAAGTATTTGAAAGTCCATGGTCTAGTCACTGTTTTATTTTAAGACTGAGCTCCAGGAACAAAAACATAAGCTAACTTACTCATGTAATAGGCGACTACAGGACAAGAAAGGGCTGCTGAAGTTCGACTTAATTAGTCACCTCCTCATCCAACAGGATGTTATATTTTACTACATTAAAACTCCAGTTTTGAGCACAGACACATTTGTGCCAAACAAAAAAGCCAAGAAAAACAAAATACTCAGGGCAAAAAAAATTCACCTATCACACCAGAAAAATATGTAATACAGGCAGAGTGTTATAAACTGACCCCCTAAATGTAACATTTACAATGAGCAGTAGGAATCTTTTATTTTCCAGTTTTATTGGTGCAGTTCCGATTCACATTTTGCGTCTTTTCATTCTAGAAGAAGTAATAACAACTTAAATTTTGAAGCAGACTTTTAACATGGAAAAAAAAATACTGCACAGCAATGATGCCAGTTAAAGCAAAATCTGTGAAATGCCATTATACTTGTAATAAGTAATGTAATCCTTCCTATTTGGACCTCTCCCTGTATTACTCACTGGGTTATTGGCAAATTCTGAAAAAGGCTGTTTAATCATTCAACTTTTTCATTTTCCTATGTGGGTGGCTGCAAGAGTGGCCAGTAACAACAAGCAAAAGCAAAAAGATTACTTTCAGCCGTACAACAAATTTATTAACATATTTTCATTTGATACACTTTTTCCTGATGGAAAGGAATTATTTTGTGTTTTTTGAGTTTTTTTTAAGTATGAGGGGAAAACATTCTCAAATATATCAAGGCAAGAGAGTGCAACTTTTACTTGGCATGAATCCTGCCGAAGCAATGGCGTATGTGAAGATCCTGTGAAGGCTGAGATTGAGCTCCCCCACTGCTCCATTCAACAACCAAGAGAAAATTTGCAGCTTGAAGGCTTATCCAAGGCTTAGGACTTTTTCCCATCCTACGTGAAAGAGCTGGGTGTCCACTGGTGCTGTCACATGGGAGGAAAGGGAGTGAGTGACATGCTCCACATATCTGGAAATCCCAGGTATTTCTCTTGGAACATAGTAGCTTGTCTGAATGCTTGCAGCATGAATACTGTGGTGACACCGGCCTATACACCCAGCCTGCTGTGCTGGTATTATTCCAGAAGTGGAGTTAATAGAAAAAAAAAAAAAAAAGTTAAAACACAAAAGTTTCAAAAATATACAAGGCAAAAAGTTTGGAAAAAAATGTCAGGTGAATCTGCAAGCAGATTGGCTGAAACATCAGGATATCCTCTGTCTGGGTATCAGCCTGACCAGCCTGTGGGTTCACTCATCTTGCAGATACATTGGAAACACTGCAAACAGAGACCTAATGCAAGTTTGTATACAGTATACTTTATAGCGGAAAAGAGTAGGTTAATTTACTAGCCCCTACTATGATGATATATGGGAGCTTAGATGCTAATCTAAACATATTTTAAATTTTATATTAATTTCAGTGCCAGCAGTAATGACTCGAAATATACTTTATTATTCCCCGCTAATAATAATTTATAACTTTTATGTGTACAATATTTCAAAATCTCGGTATGGTTTACTGGCACGGGCCATAAATCCTCCTCCTTATACAGTTTTATTGATTTTCTGCATTGTTTCTATAGATGTTTTGTTGGAACTTTGTCTGAAATAAAATGCTGCAGTTAGTCGATACTCTTCATGAGAACACTTGAAGGACTTGTAAAAGGGTCGGTGACCTGTACACCGCGGCTGACCTCTTAATGTCGAGGGAACGACCTCTTTGAACTTGGTCTTTGAACCTTACTTTCTTTCATTAACCGAGCGTTGTACACAGCAATAACTTATTATAATTGCCATTTATAATTTTGCAGCACCGAATATCGAGGTAAGAGAATCTACAGAACTAACAATGTATTTTAGATAATTGTGTGATATAAAACAAAAGTGATGCATGAATTACATTTTATACATTATAAAGCTAATTAGGTATATTAAAAAAACAATGTGTAACCCATTGAAGCAATAATAAATCATCTTTCCATTTATGTATTTATTTATTTTTGCCTGGCAGCACTAGGGTCATCGGTTCGAATCCCAGCCGCAGCACCACCTATACAGAGTTTGCATGTTCTCCCTGTGCCTGAGTGGGTTTCCTCCTGGGACTCAGGCTTCCTCCCACACTCCAAATACATGCTGGTAGGTAAATTGGCCCTAATATGTGTATATATGAATGTGAGTTACGTACCTTAGATTGTAAGCTCCTTGAGGGTTAGGGACTGATGTGAATGTACAATGTATGTAAAGCGCTGCGTAAATTGATGGCATTATATAAGTACCTGAAATAAATACATTTTGGGTACTTATGTAGCGTCGTCAATTTACGCAGTGCTTTACATATGTATTATACATTCACGTCAGCCCTGCCCTCAGTGATTTGACTTCACTGATTTGAAATCCAATTGGTTGATATGGGACACTGTACTTTTCAAATACCATTGCTCTAGGCATAGCTGTATCTAAAAGCATGGGGAATTATTAAAACTGAATTCCAGGCAGAAATAAAAGACACAAACTATAGCCGCTCTGCATTCAATAATACAAGGAGTGTAAGTATCTGGATTTGACCTTGTATTAGTCCCTGTAAAACAGAGCTGGGGGGAGAAGTAGTATAAGGAGCCAAATAATGCTGCTGCAGTGCAAGGAGTATGCTGACAGCAGGAGAGAACTGAATGACAGAGAGATGAACTCATCAGTCTGTTGTTCCCTCTTTTCTCTGTCCTATCACAGGAGGAGGCCTATAAGTATTGATAAACAGAAAAATCAGATCTCCTATCCTGGCTGACCAGGCTGTTCTGTGTGGCAGAGCTGTGTAAATCTCAAAACTGAATAAATTGAAAATCCTTTGGCAAGTAAAACAGCTCCCATATATGTATGTCATCTGTGTCAGACAAAAGAAAGGATAGAAATGCAAATCCCTTAAAGTTTATCAAAAGCCAAAACTTTTTTTTCTTTTTTTGTAATTTTTAGATTTTTGGAGGTAAAACCCCAGTTTGTCTGTCCCCACTGAGATGCTTGGCCCTCCCTATTTCACCTGTCGCATTACTATGACAAGTGACCTTCCTGACCTATAGTCAGATGCATTGGGTGAGAAGAGACAGGCCATGGTACGTGACCACCGACCATAATAACTTTGTCAATATTTTGTCTGCATTTGCATAAATAAAAGGGGAGCTAATGTGCTATGAAGTACAAGTGCAATGCAATTACTACTTGGTGCTCACAAATGGCTCAGATAATTCAAGCGCAGGTTGTAACTCAGCATTTATCAAATATCTAGCTGAAAGAGTAGGACCCCCTTGTAATGTCCATAAAAAAAAGGTGATTTAGGGAAGGTGCCCTGCAGGGGCGGACTGACAACTCATGGGGCCCCCAGGCAATAGGGGATCATGGGGCCCCTGCGTCCTCGCCCACACCCAAAAAAGCCTATCAAAAAGCCAATGAAAGGTACCAAGGCATCTCATGGGTCCCCCTACTGACCCCAGGCCCTCGGGCAGTGCCCGAGTGCTCGAATGGTCAGTCCGCCCCTGGTGCCCTGAAATGCATTGCGTAGCAACCCTGCACACTGGAAGAGAGCACCCCTGAGTAGTGTGGACGTTGTTGATGACATGCTGATTACAGCTGGTGGGTTCAGCAAGTGCTATCTAGCCCCATCTAGGACAGGATCCAAGACAGTTTTCATCTTCAACACAGATCCTCAATTATTCAAGGGGAGCCATGGGCATAGTCTGCACAGGCTCAAGTTGTGATGTTACCACTCTCTGCATTTCTGAGTACATTTTATAACGTGTTTTTTTGTTGCACAAGATCTTTGCACCCTGTCTTTTGCTCTATTTTTTTTTTGCTATTTTTTTTTTGTGACCATCACACAGATACAGTATACCTCAAAACCCCAATATACTTTTGGTGCTTTGCCAATGAGGGTTCCATATGGTTCAGGTATGTTAAAAGGCCAGCACTCTAGTGTCACGTACTTGGTGATGGAGCCTGACGTGGAGAGGTAAAGGTTCTCTTACATCTCCTGCTCAATACCCCTGTTAAAGTGACAGGAGGCAGGA